GCAGGGCACAGCATCACGAGCTCTCCGGGCTTCCAGCCGTGGGCTTCGGCTCCTGTTGCTCGCTGGAGTGTTTGCCAGGGCACCTTCCCCGCAGTTCACCCGTGCCAAGGTGGGGTCCCGCCGGGGCGGCTCTTGTGGCTGAGCTCTGTCTCCAGAAGGACTGGCCCTGTGTTTATGTCCGGGGGTCCAGCTGCAGCACCGCGTGCTGGGCAAGGGGGAACAGACCCAGGGCCCTGCAGGGGGAATAAAGGAAATCCACGACCCTCCAGTAGGTAGACTGGCTCTTAGAAGATGACAAATATTTGCAAGAATAGGCAGATAAAGTGAAATGAAGCAGTGTGGAAGGGATAAGTTAGGGAGAAGGAAGGGGCTTTGACAGATGCAGGGGAGGAGGAGGACCAGCTTTCCAGCTGAAGGAAAGGCAGATAAAGAATTGTGGAGTAGCTGGATGGGTGGGTTTGCATCTGGCATGCTCGGATTTGCTTGTTTTGGGAAGCAGCCTGTTGGCAGCATGCCTGGGACAGGTTGCAGACAGCTCTGGGCAAATGAGAGTAGAGCTTCTTGCCCCTGGGACAGGGAGTGGGCTGGTGATTTTTGGCATCACACAGCTAGCGAGAGGATCGTGATGGGAAGAGCTGCCGAGCAGGGAGGTGAGAAAACCAAAGCTGCCTGTAGAATCTGAAGGAGATCCAAGAACGGAGGCAGAATGCAGGAGCTGCCAGCTGGGGAGGGATGGATGGTGGCTTTGGAGGACAGCGTACAGCTGGACAAGGCAGAGGAGGCTGAACTGTGGGTTGAATGTGTTGCAGGGCAGATCCTGCCTGCCAGGTCAGCTCCTGACAGTGGAGCTGTGCTGGGGCTGGCAGCAGTGTCACCACTCCCAGCTCCTGGCCCTGCCTGGCTGCCAGAAGCCAACACCCTCTGTCGTGAAGTGTCCGGGGACTGCAGGCAGGTTTTTATTCTGCTGCTGAGCAACTTTTCAGAAAGTCTTCATAATTAGGAAGCAAAGTCTGAGGGCCTTGGAAAGCTGTCCTTGCCAAAGTGGACTTTTCATCCAGGTGATCCCTCCAGGTTGGGTTCTTGCTTCCTCTCGTGGCAGATCTCCAACTCTGGGTACAACAGTTCCTGAAGTGTACACATTTCACTAACGCGGTCTTAATTAGAGACTGTGGTTGATGCTAAGCTGGGAAGAATATGAAAATAAAAGTGTTCTTAAAAGCCTCTGTAATGTAACCACAAACCCTGACGTGCTTTCACTGTCATCACGCTGGTGTCGCCTGACAGTCCCCAGAAGAGAGGCAGTTGTCCCTGTCTGAACTGTGCACCTCATCCCTTCATCTGTTTAGGCTTATTTTAAGGGTATGTGGATTTCCTGGAGGAAAATTATCCCCCTCTGGCTTTTAATTTTGCATTACACATACAGATTCAACCATAATGCTGTTTCAGTGTAGGCTTGGAGCTATTTCTGGTCCTACTCTACTTATAGAGAGATATATATGGGTATCTGGAAATAAGTAAAAATATTTAGGATACCCTTGTTGCATATAGAAGCATCTGTTGCCTTACTCTTCTTGGAGGTACCTTATCATACAGTCATAGTACATATTCTAGCTGGAACATAACAGCAAAGTGTTGGCTTGCTTTTGGTTTCTTTACTCTTTCTGTTGGGATATGAGAAACCCCTTCAAACAGATGTGTCACCTTTAGTGAAGCAAATGCAGCTCCACACACAGCCTGGTGCTGTTGCCTCTGCTGAAGCACTGTGGGTTTTTTTCAGAGGAACCCAGGCTGTTCCCTGACCTGCTCTGCAGTGGGGTCAGTGTACTTCTGACACGGGCTGCAGGACCTTTTCCAGGCTTCCTGTTACAGGTCCTGCTTTTCCAAGTTCTTGCTTGGACCTTGATAAAAACAAGTGCTGTTTGAACCCCCTTGGTAAAATGGAGGTGACTTAAAGCAGTATTGGAGTCTACAACAGGTATAGGGTTAGGGTTAGGGTTAAAGCAAAGGGAGTTGTTCTTCCTGTGTTTATACATGTTCTAGGAAGACACAGCAAAATGCCAGTTTAGTTCTTAGCTGCTAATTCACTGTGAGGTGTTTGCACAGTGTGAAGCATTAAACTGCTTTCCACTGAGGTCAGTAAGCTCCTGCTGAGAGGCTGACATTTTTTCCCTCCTGTGCTGGAAGAGGATTTTGTGAGAGGTAGACCAGCTTTTGATAACGTAGTTTCCTCTGTGGGCAGTGGAAGGCTTGTTGGCTCTCCAGAGCAGGATTTCCAGCAGCAGCTCATGCTGGTGCTGAATGTACAGAGCATTTGTTTGCTTGTTATTGCTGCATGGTGAGGTTTCAGTTTTCTGGGTGTGAGTGAGGCCGAAGAGAACAGAGCAGTGTACGTGGTGTTCCAGCCTGCACTGTGCTTGGCCCTGGCACCTTTCAGCTTTACTGCTTACAGCTTTGCTGGGGCAGAAGCAAACAAACTTCTTCCCCTCTTCAGTTATTTGTCCTCTCAGAGGGATCTGAAAAGGGAAAAATGTCTCTCCACAGCTTTTAAACAGACATGTGGGGTTTGTTAAGACAAATTACTTTCTTTTGCAGGAAAATGATCCTTCCCTTTTTTTTTTAGTGTGTGTGTGCACGCTGAACTTAATTATCCCTCCACTTCTCACTCCATAATGATTTCTATCTTTATGTTTTCAAAGAGCTTCAGAAACAGTAACACAGATATTTCCTTGTTTTCCCCCATGGCCTGGTGCAGCTCGAGATGTTGCTGTGCAGAAGATTGAGACAATTATAAAAGAACAGTTTGCCGTCGAAATGAAGAGTAAAGAACATGAAATTGAAGTTATAGATCAGGTACAAAGGTTTTGTTCTTAAAAATACCTAAGGTGCTGGTGCATGGGGCTTGGGGGCCTTCTGCAGGGTTCTCTGTTACTATGTGTGACCTCTGCTCTTCGCAGCGCCTGATTGAAGCACGAAGGATGATGGACAAGCTGCGTGCCTGCATTGTGGCCAACTATTATGCATCTGCTGGTCTCCTGAAAGCTGGAGAGGTAAAAATTGCTTTGGGAATAATAAGACTGCAGGGAATATTTGCCAAGGAAGATGTGCAGTTCACTGCAATCAGCTGATGTTTGGGTTTTGAGCTGTGATTTTCTGACGTGGTGGAATATGAGTTGCAGGTGGGGTGGCAGTGGGAGAGGAGATCTGTGCATCACCAGCTGTACTTTGCAGAGATGAGTCTTCCAAGGAGTAGCTGAGAAGTCGTCCAGCAGCCCTTGGTTCTGGTTTCTGAAGTACTCTGCTGGGTATTTTTTTGTCAGCCCTTGCTTGGGAGCACCTTGCTTCTCACACACTCCATGGTGTCCTTGCAAAGCCCCGAGTAGCAGGGAACATGTTTTTCCATGTCACAGGAGAGTGGAAGCAGGTAGGTTTTGAAGCATCTTAGCAAAAAGAATATTTAAAAATCAAGATTTCCTGAGGCTCGGGCAGTGCCTTTACCTTGGCAGCCTGTTCATGGTTTGGGGAACAGACTGATGGCAGCAGCAGTGCAGGAGGTAAATCAAAGAGATGCACAGAAATTCCTGCT